TGTGTGTGTGTGTGTGTGTGTGTGTGTTTGTTTTAATTATACAGTACTGATGTACTACAGGAAATGAGCATACACATAATTACAACAAAAATTGTTCAAAAGGAAGCCAAAGCAAAAACTTTGCATGTCTCTGAGCAAACAGTCATGGTGTGTTTTAATTCTTCTTCTTCTTTCTTAAATGTGTTTGAACAATCGTTTGAGAGAATAATTTAATGACTCACTCATTAAGACAGTTACTGTCGCCAACTACTGGTGTAACAGTGTAACGCTAAGCCAAATACATTCGATGACTGGAACCAATTGTTGTGTAAATCTAGCTGAATTTTATAAACGTAGCCTAAGTGTTTCTTTACTGTGTGTATTCTGTGTGTATTTATTACACAGCATGATTTACTGCTGGAAATGTGAGCATAGCCAAAATGTTTTATTTTTTATTGTAAGGTAAATAGTTCCAAATGAAGTGAAGAAGTGCAAGAAGTGGGTCTGAAGCAATAGTCTGAGATTATTAATTAACAAGTAATTCAATGACTCATTAAGACAGTCTCCTGTTGCCGCCTAACAATCAAACCAATTTGGTAAACAAGATACATTGACTGATTGATTGATTGATTGATTGATTGACTTACTCTTGAAACCCATACTATTGAAAAAGAAATATACTTTTGTACATGATAAATCTTTGTTGATGCAGACAAATCTGTGCCTATAAGTCCCAAACTTTATGAAGGTGTGTTTGGTGTAAAGTCTAAAAAGAGTTGGGTTCTCACTTCCACTTTTCAGTATTGTTTGAAATATACCGACATACTGCTGGCCAAAGGAAAGGCTTACCTATGTCAAATGTCTATATATATATAAACAAACAAAATAGGTGAAAATGATCTAAAATCACAGCTGAGAATGTCTAACTTTTCCCGCAGGTTTCTGTATTGCTCACACTCAGGGTTTTAATGTGGGGACTGCAGGAGCTAAAATCTTCACAGGTCTTGCAGTAGAAGAGTTTGGCTACACTGTACAACAGTTAAGCAATAATCAAGGAAAATGGTAAGATATGTCACACACCAGACATTTTTTTCTAAAAGATTGTGGATCTGAAGTCTATTTCTGGAAGTATGGGACTGATGCTCTGAGTCACAGCACTCTACCAATCTTAAAGGAATAGTTCACCCAAAGATGGAAATTTGCTGAAAATATGTCACCTTCAGGCCATCCAATATGTAGATGAGTTTGTTTCTTCTGGTCTGAAATCTGTTCTGATGAAGAAACAAACTAATCTACATCTTGGATGGCCTGAAGATAGATTTTCAGCTCATTTTCATTTCTGGTTGAATTATTCCTTTAATATCATAAGCACATAAGGCAAAAATAATTAGTATGCAAATTTTGTTTGCATAATTTCTTTGACTGCATAGAGAAATGGTTATTTCTGCTCAGGCTGCTGGTGGGTTCTCCCTGGAGCGGATACCCTCAGAATAGAAAAGGAAGTCTCTATAAGTGTGACATTAGTGCTTCCAGAAGTGTCATTTGCCAGAAACTAAACCTTGCAGGTAAATTTCTCTTTATTTGAAATAATAATGCAGTTATAAAAAGTATTGTGGTATTATCATGGGTTTTTGGACATGAAACAATAGGTTGAAGGTTGAAGGTTATCATGAAGTACACATGCATGGTAGTTTATGAATATGATATCAGCACTATTGTTGTACTGACACCATAGTACTTTTTTGTAAGGGGGTCCTTTAAAATGAATTAAAATTTAATTAACAGAATTTAGATTTTTCCTACTTGTCATGTAAATATATCTGTGTCTTCGCAGACTCTGTCAGCATAGATGGTGTGCAGAGCATCAACGTCAACATGAGTCTGGGCCTGACTCTCACTCCAATAGCTGAACCTAACAGATTGATGGTATGTTGTAGTAGCATTGTGTCACTATCAGGGGGCTTATTCCTTTTTACAGTAAAAGCATTCATTCAGTTGTTTTCATACTCAAGATACTCTGCCATGGATTAAACTGTAGAAAGTTCATAGTATAAATGTTTGTGTTTCAGACGTGTGGTCCTCTGTGGGCTCAGCGCTGTGGCAGTCAGTACTTTTACCCAGGAGTCTGTGCTAGTGAGCCCACAGTTTACGCTTCAGTCGGTCTTCTCTCCTGCCGTTCAAAGTACATCTTATTTTGTATTGTCAGAAATTTATAAAATAATTAATTGAGTAAGTTAGTCATTCTTGATCTGAATTTCTCATTCAGCTTGTGGCGGGCCCATGGATGTTGCCATTGTTTTGGACGGATCAAACAGTATATATCCATGGCCTGACGTTAGAGTCTTTCTCATAAAGCTTTTGGAAAATCTTGATATTGGACCAGATAAAACTCGAGTAAGTACTGTAATTCAGCTTATTCTGATCCAGTTTATTTCTTTGATTTATATGATATGACTTAATTTGGATTTTTGTTTATTTTTTAGGTCAGCATTATTCAGTATTCCGAGGATTTGTCCTTTCTTTATAATTTTAGTTCTGACCAAAATAAAGAAAAGGTTCTTTCAGCAGCTTCTAATATTGAGCAAAAAACTGGGACAGAAACCAACACTTTTGCAGCACTTGACAATGTCAGGTATCCTATCCCCTACAAACTCTATTATTTTATTTTATTTTATTTTATGTGGGGGGAAAAACATTTTGTGATTGTTTGTGTTTCAGGCAAACAGCTTTCTTACTGGAAAATGGTGGCCGTCCCGGTGCCACTAAGGTGTTGGTTGTGGTAACAGATGGAGAATCTGCTGATGGTCATAAATGTCAAGAGGTCATTGAGAGATGCAACAGAGATGGCATCATTCGCTTTGGCATTGCTGTGAGTGAGAGAGAGATCAGCATGAAAAAAAAGCATTACATTAATAAAACAGAATCTTTAATGTTGATGATATTTTCATCTATACACTAAAAAATGCTGGGTTAAATACAACCCAGTGCTGGGTAAAATAGGGACAAACCCAGCAATTGGGTTGTTTTGACCAAGCGGTTGGGTTACTACCCAGAAGGTTGTGTTAAACATTTAACCCAACCGCTGGGTCAAAACAACGCAATTGCAGGTTTGTCCCTATTTTACCCAGCACTGGGTTGTATTTAACCAAGCATTTTTTAGTGTATAGTCAGCATTATGATTTCTTTTGAGACATCTAAAAATTATTTCTTATTATATGTGATCTCTTGTCATTTTATTATATGTATGGTTATTTTACAGTGCATGAAAAATTAAAACCATATTGATGATTAAATTAAACTGTGCTACAACAAAGCCATAAACATCACACTCTAAAAATGCTGGGTTAAATATAACCCAGCGCTAGATTAAAACAGCCCAATTGCTGGGTTTGTCCCTATTTTACCCAGCACTGGGTTGAATTTAACCCAGCATTTTTTAGAGTGTAGTATTATATATAAATATGAGAGCATATTGTGAAATAAAATGAGTAATGAGATTCATTGCAGAAAATCAACAATTTTAAGGATTCATTGTTTTAAATTTCATATTGAGGTACCCAGTTTACAGTTTTACAGTTTTTTTATAAAACGGATAGTTCCGGTCCTTGATCCTGATTGGCTGAGCCACGTTCGAAGCTGTTGTAAATTACACTACAAACATACACCTTTGTTTACTTTGTGTGTTGCTTGGCAACAACTTTGTTGCAGCCACAACTATTTCTGAGGAACTACATTGTTTGGTGGAAGAATACTGTTTTTATTAATATCATTACACTTTATTTGCTCTGTTTTATTTTGTGAAACCTAACTACGTATATGGAATAACCGTTTTATAAAAGCAA